CATGTGTACAGGCATACCTCATTTTATTGCACTTCGCTTTTTTGTGTTTCATAGAAATTGTTTTTTTTTAATTGAAGGTTTGTGACAACCCTGTGTTGAGCAAGTCTTTCAGTGCCATTTTTCCAACAGCATGTACTCCCATCATGTCTCTGTCATATTTTCATAATTCTCACAATATTTTGGACTTTTTCATTGTTATATCTGTTACAGTGATCTATGATCAGTGATCTTTGATATTACTGTTGTAATTATTTTGGCAACCACACTTACATAAGATGATGAACTTAATTGATAAATGTTGTGTCTGTTCTGACTGCTTAACATGTACCTTAAGATGTGACAAACATTCTCTCTGGGTACAGGGGAGAAAGGGAGGTCTGTGGAACCCAAATTAAGAATCCCTGATCTAGAACCTGGTTTCTATTAGCATAGTTTTTGAGGATCCAGGATCACTTATACATTACAATGAATCATTAAAAGCTGTGTTACAGCACAGAGAACTCTAGAGTTAGAAGATTTGGTTCAAATGTCACTTCTGATGTTCACCACTTTTGTGAAATTGGGAAAATCACTTCACCTTCAAGGCCTCATTTTCCTTATCTGTAAAATGAAAAGAGGATGTAGACTAGATTCCCTCTGAGGTCCCTTTCAGCTTTATATATGATAAAGTAAGGACTTTAGTAGCCTTATGTCATTATTGAAGTAATGGCATAAACAATATAATTGTTTAAACACTTGAATTGTTGAAAGAAATGGGAATTACATAGCAGCACTTTTAGTAATAGCAAAGAACTGACTACAAGGTACATGTCCATCCATTGAAGAATGGCCAAAAATTGTGGAACAGGATTGTCTGTGTCTTTAGAAATGGGAAATACTGTGGATTTAGAGAAGCAAAGAAAAACTTTTTGAATTAATACAGAGTGAAAGAAATAGAACCAGGAAAACATCATCCACAATAACTAAAACCGTGTTAAAAAAGAAACTGAATACTGGTGAATAAAATTACCAAGCTTGGGCATGGAAAACATAACCTTACCCTCCTCTCTTTGTAGAGATGGGAAATGTAGAGTATTATGTAGACTCAAACATGATTGATTGGATGTGTTGATTGACTTTTCTGACTTTTTTCTCTAATTCTTTGCTGTAAGTAATGGTTCTGTGGGTAGAGAAGGCCCCATTTGGAAATGAGGATCATATAAAAACAAAATATATCAACAAAAATGGGAATTAGCTACATAGTATATTTTCATAAGTGAATACAAAGATCATGTGACTTAATTTTTATTAACCTAACTACAGGCATTTTGTGGAAGAATACAATTCAGTATTCAACAAGCATTTATTGAGCACTAATTATGTGTCACCATGGGGCAAGACACTGGGGAAACAAAGATAAAGCAAAACCTGAAGCAGCTTACATTCTAAGGGGGGAGACAACATACATAGAAGTAGAAACATGTATGTATATATGTACGTCTGGAGAGAGAAGGAGGGAGGCAGGGGATGAGAGAGAGACAGAAACAGAGAGATGAGATTTAGAGTAAAAAAAAGCAGATCTGAATCCTTCCTCTGCCACTTTCTACATTTGTGAACTTGGACAAATTCTGTTAAAAATATCATCTCTTCAAAATAGGATGATATAAACAGTCTGTATCAGATATAAGTAGATTGTATGAATTTCCCCCTGCACAATGCTAAAAACTGAAAATGTTTATTTTAGGGACTATTAACATGAACATGTCATTGAACTGAATCCTGAAGTGCAGTGCTATGCTCACAGAGGGTTTATTAGAGCTTTTAAAAAAAAATTGACCTACAAAAAGAAATTTAGGAGTCAACACTTTCCCCTTCACCCAAACACCTCCAATATAATGTTTGGATTAATAGGTTGCAGGTATGGAGACATTATATCTATAAGCAGGGTTTTAATTTCTTTTTTTTAATAGTATTCTATTTATTTTTTTTTTGAGGCAATTAGGGTTAAGTGACTTGCCCAGAGTCACACAGCTAGTAAGTGTTATGTGTCTGATGTCACATTTGAACTCAGGTCCTCCCAACTCCAGGGCCCGTGCTCTACCCACTGCAACACCTAGCTGCCCCAGGGTATTCATTTCTAATATAAACATTGGATTAACAGTTAAATTTTACTCATAAATTGAGGAAACAACACTTTATAAATGAAAATATTCTCTAGGGAAAAAAAGGAAATGGCTTTTTGTTCAGTATCCTGAGGCTGTGCTTTGCTGAGACTTTTAAAAGTTTTTTCTTCCCCCTTCGAACCAAAACTTCCTCAGCAGAGCTGAAAAGAAATGAGGAAATGGCTAGCAGCTGTGAGCTTAAAAGAAGACCAGTGGTGATCAAAGCCTCCTGATGCTTTTGACCACTGGCCATCAGTTATGGAACTGTTAGATCATTGAACACAGCCAATAATCCTGGTTGTATTGCATTGACAAATGGACTTCCCCTTTCTGGGCCTTTATTTCTCCATCTGTAAGATGGAGGGGGAAAAAATCCCGCAAAAATCATTGATTCACCAACAGGTTCGGGAGATTGAGGTTTTATTCATATTGGCAAGGACTACCTCTCCACCATTACCACCACTCAGCTTCTGCCTTCATTTCTGGTTCCTTGTGCACATTTAGAAAGAATTCTCTTACTGGTCTGGTCTCCCTGATGTCACTATGTTGCTGCTGTCCTTGGCGGCTGTGTTTGAGCTCTGTTCCTCTTCAGAAAACATCATCCCATTCCCTCTTGCATTTTCTGGTGGGTGTAAAATAGCCTTGTGTTACTAGAATTTCCTTTTTCTTTGCATTTGAAGGTCATTTCCCTGGTCATTTGTAGAATTTGTTGTTTCTGAATTGCATTGATAAATTTAAGACACAATGTGTCTTGGCTTTGGCAGCCTTGCTTTTTGCTTTTGTTTTGTTTTGTTTTTTGGAGATGATCTTTGCATTTGTTCAAATCGTATTTCCTATTTTGTTTGTGTTCAGGAGTTCAGGCAGTTTTTTTGTACTATTTCTTCCATTACAGAATTCAGATTCTTTTGACTTCTGGGAGACCTATAATCCTCAGGTTGTCTCTGCACATGCTGTCTTCGAGATCAGTATGGAGAGCGTGTTTTCTTGTGGTGTTACTACTTTTCATTCCTCTTCTTCTAGATTATCCTTCACTTCTTTGTATTTTTATTCCTAATGAGTTGCCCTTTCTTGTTTCTTTGGTGACACTTGTCATTGCAGATTCAAATGTTTTATTCTGCCAACGATTTCTTCTTGTGTAGGCCATAAAGTCTCTTCTCATAATTTTCATTTCTCTTCTAAAGCACTCAGGAACAGCATGTTGTGTTTTCATGTTCTCCTCAGATTCCATATTCCTCTCATCAAATATTTTACAGTATTTATATATGCCTGAACTTGTTTATTAGATCTGGAATCCATATTTTCATCTGGGGTCAAGGTTATCCCTGTTGATTTATCGATTTATGCTTAAGGTCTTTGAGTTTTCATCCTCCTAAGATCTTTAGTAATTTTCAATCTTTCCCCCCTAATTCCTCTCCCCCATTGCTCACTTTCTGACTTCCTATCTCTTAGGGTGCTTTCCCTGGGGGCTGGATCTCATAGTGTCCCAGCCTCTTCCCACACTTGGCAATTTATGGTGCCCCAGTCAAAGTCTCTGCCCCAGTGATTTTAGGGCAGACAGAACTAGCCCCAGCTAGATGATGGGTTTTCTCTCAGGCTTAGTGGAATGACAAATACCTCCACACTGCTTCCTATTGTCCTGTGCCATTCCCTCTATTTCTCCACTTTCCTGTAGAGATGTTTTTCTGCACAGAACACTAATATTCTGGCTGTTTTCCTGGATTCTGGCACATTTCTACAGTTTGCAGCTAGGGTCTCCGCAACACTGGAAAGAGGGAAAGGAAATGAGTTGCACCTTTTTTTTTTTTTGGCCAGTCCATGGGTTGTGTTGGCTAGTGCAGCCTTGTGACTGATAACATGGAGGTCAGTGACGGAGGAGATGCTGAGTAATCTCGAGATAACCATTAGTTCATGGAGTTGTTTTTTTTTTAATGTTCTTTTTGGGTTTTTAGTGTCCTGGACCAAGGAGGTAGCTAAAATTGCTTTATCGGTGGCATATAATTTCTGTTTTGTTGAGGTTTGAGAGGTCGTGAAGATCAGAGACAAAGTTTAGTCTTTCATCTTGTTGATCAGATGACTGATCCAGTTAGATATGCATTTCCTATCATAGAGTCAGAGATTTAGAGTTGGAAGTGACCATAGAGATCTAGCTCCCAAGACTCAAAAAAGTTAAGTGACTTCCCCAGGTTCTCACAATAAGTGTCTGAGGTAGAATTTGAACACTTTTCTTCCTAACTCCAAATCCAGTGCTATATACCATTGCTGTCTAGACATTTTCTATCCCTTCATGAGTTCTCTCAGCCTTTATCCCAGTTAGCAAAGTTGCTTCTCTGCCCTTGAGGCTCCAGTCATGGAGGTCTAAACCTCTTTGTGTGTGTTTTATGAGGCTTCCCTGAAGGACAAAAACAGCTCCGGTGAAATCACCCAGTTCAGTTCCATAACCCCCTTTCCTAGATCAAAAATATTCAGCAGCCACTCTACTTGAATCTTGGATGTATGATAATATGCTAACATAAATAGTATCAGGATGCTTCACCAATGCAATTTTATGTATGGTACTCCATTACTAGAAAAACAAAGATGAGAATGAAAATAAGTGGGGAAAAATTTGTCTGTGAATGATAATGATTGGGGGGAAAGTGGAATAGCAATTTAGTCTGGCTACTCTCACTATCAGAAAATAAATTCACAGTTTGTTAGGTGAGTATGCAAGCAAAACCCAATAGCATTCCTTCATCAGATTGTATTCTCATTTTGATCCTGTGAAAGCAAGTAATTGAATTTCAGATGTAAAGTTCATTTTAGTTATTTATCACAAGCCATGAAAGACTAATGTCATTTGGGTATTGCCTTTTTTTCCAGCTAGAAGATGATATCATAGCCAAACCAAGGTACTTTACGGCAGTAAGGGATTTTGCACTTAAGCAAACCTCTGATTGGCTTGTACTGGAATTCTCAAAGCTTGGGTTTATTGGTAAGTAATTTTTGTTTGAGCCAAGATTTGGGTTATTGTGTTTTTAACAGCCATTAATCCTGGGAGTTCTTAAGAATTTAAGAAGGGAGTTAGTATTGACCAAATAATAGAGGCATAACAGGAAATAATTTAAATAAAATTGATTATTTTAACGGAATCATCTGATATTGGTATTTTAAATAATACTAATATGTTTAGATTTTTTTTTAAGAAGAAGAAAACAATGTGCCATATCTAAAGAGATTTAATACATACAGAAACCAAAAATAGTAGTGATATTTTAGGCAGATATATTCCTGAAAATGTCAAAGGAAAAATTCCTCCTATTAAGCCCTGTTTTCCAACTAGTTCCTACCATAACAAAAATAAGAGCCAATGTTAATGGAGAGAGTTAAGGTTTGTAAGGTGCTAACTTTACATTAATTCATTTTGTCCTACTAACCACCCTTTGGCATAAACACTGTGATTGTCTCCATTTTACAGATGAGGAAACTGAGGCATCTCCTAACAGAAAATTCAGGACTCTATCCACTACATCACTTAGCTATGAAACATTCTGAATCATAATAATTTCTGCTTAATTTAGCTATACTAGGGAAGTGAGGGAGATCAAAGAAAGGAACAGAACTGCTATTCAAAAGAAATGGGAGGTTACAAATGATAGGGAAAAAAAGGCAAGACTGACTATTTGACAGTTGCATTGCTTCTATTTTCTCTGTTAAGGATGACCACTGGATTGGAATGGTTCAAAAACCAAAACAAAACAAAAGACCAATAGAGAGTTGAAACACAAGAAAACTTAATAGGTCTAGGTGACCTTGATGAGGTCCAGTCATCAAGTCTAGACAGACTATATTTCCAGTGTGGAAAGAACTGAGAAAAGTAATCTTTAAGGGATCCTTTTGTTCTAGAATAAAGTAAAACCGCTCATCCTGGCATTTTAGGTCTCTCATGTACCAGGCAAACTGACTTATTAACTGTTACTTGAATTCAACCTGTCATCTCCTATCTTCATGCCTTTGTACATGGAGGTTGCCTTCCATTTCTGGAATGTGTGCCTTGGTCATTTCCTCCTCTTAGGATATTTTACTTCCTTCAGGGTTCAACTTAAATGTCAACAATTATTATTGTTAGCCACATCTTCTCCGAAGGCAAACCTTCCCTGATTTCACAGCTATTAGTGTTCTCTCCTTCCTGAAATAATTTTGTGTTTACTTTTCTCTGTATGAGAAGCAGCACAGCATAGTGGATAGGGAACTGGCCTTGAAGCCAGGAAGATCTGAGTTCAGATTCCTTCCTGTAAACACACACCAGCTGTGAGTCCCAAGTTGTTTTTTTTTTATCTCTTATTTTTTCAATATTTATATTTTTAAATTTTGAGTTCCAAATTATCTCCCTACCTCTAGCCCCTTCCCTACCCATTGAGAAGGAAAGCGATATGATACTCATTATATATATAAAGTCATGTAAAACATTTCTTTATTAGGCATGTTGCAAAAAGAAAAAATTTAAAGCAAGGAAAAGAAAGAAAAAAAAAAGGTTCAATCTGCACTCAGAGTTTATCAGTTCTCTCCCTGGAGGTGGATACCATTTTTTTTTCATTATGAATTATCTGTACTCATATTGCTTTCTCTGGTAGAATGTAAGTGCTCCTTGAGGACAGGAATTCTCATTTTTGTTTTTGTATTCCTAGTTTAGTGTAGGTACATAATAAATATTGATTAATGACTTGATGGTTATATGATATATATGTGTATATGTATGATATGTACAGTTTATGTACTTAATTGTATTAGTTATTTCTTTTCTCCCCCCTAGGAAAACTGTTTAGAACCAAAGACTTACCTTTGATAGTGCAATTTTTAATAATGTTCTACAAAGATAAACCCATAGACTGGCTTTTGGATCATTTATTCTATGTGAAAATATGTCATCCAGAAAAAGATAGCGTAAGTATTTCTTTGTTTTATAGAATACCAAGTATGTGTTGACGGAATAATGTGACATTATCGAGTTATGAACATTTCACCAACCATGTTGAATGTCTTACTGAAATGGAAATAGACACCATTGACAAGGCCCTTCCTGATTTTCTTGGCTGTTAGTGCCCTCAACTCCACTCTCCTCCAATATTTTGTACTGACCTATTTGTGTACATATTTTATCCATCTTATAAATTGTAAGCTTCTCGAGGATGAGGATTGTTTTACTTTCATTGTTGTATTCTTAGTGCCTAGCACAATGCCCTTCACAGGTACCTAGGATAAGGCTAGGGACTAAACCCATTACTTCACTGGTATAGGGAACTCCTGGATGAGAAGACTTTCTATTGATAAAAGTCAGCACCTTCTACACAACTCAGAATTTTAGAGAGTTTCCTTGATCCTAAGACATTAACTGACTTCCTCAGGAGGCACCAGACGTTACTAGTAAGCTCCCAAGGCAGACCCTGAACCCAGTTAATCTATAAGAATTTTAACTGTGAGATTCCTTCCCCTCAGTCTCTTACATCCTGCCTCAGTTTCCAGAGATACCTATTTTGTGGTGAATTGAAAGATTTGGAGTCAGAGACGGTTGTCGTTGGCCAATCATTTCAGTCACATCTGACTCTTTGTGACCCTGTTTGGGGTTTTCTTGGTAGAGATACTGGAGTGGTTTACCATTCCCTTCTCCAGCTCATTTTATGGATAGGGAAACTAAGGCAAACAGTGTGAAGTGACTTGCCCAGGGTCACATAGGTAATAAACGTCTGAGGCGAGATTTGAACTCAAGAAGATAGTCTTCCTGACTCCAGACCTGGTGTTTTATTCACTGAGTCAGAGAACCTGGGGTCAAATCTCAGCCTTTCCACTTACTGAAAGGCTGAAGTTACTTTTCCTTGGGCCTCAGTTTAGTCATTTAAGTTATCTATAAGAAGCAGGGGTTAGAATGGATGGTATGAAAAGGATGGAGTCCTTTCTAGATACTAGAAGTCCACGATCTTCAATTCTTATAAAAATAGAATTTTCCTAGACATAGCCCCCTCTGAGGGTCTCTGGCTCACACAAAAGAGGATTCACAATTCCTATGCTGTGAACCTCAAACGTTTGTCTTAAGACCAGAGGAAACAATGAATGTGTGTTTTATAAACTAAAACAGCATGTAAATAATGGTAGTAGTTTTATTAAAATAAGTATAAATAAATTATATCTTATCCAGCATAGGGTATTCCAACATCACAAGGAAGCAAGCAACAAGCCACTTATTAAGCATTGATTATGTACTAGGTGGTGCAATAGATAGAGCACATGGCCTGGAGTCAGGAAGACTCATCTTCTGGAGTTCAAATCTGGCCTCAGACCCCGGGCAAGTCACTTACACCTTTTTGCCTTAGTTTCCTCATCTGTAAAACGATCTGCAATAAAAAATGCAAACCACTCTAGTGTCTTTCCCAAGGAAACCCCAAATGGGATCACAAAGAGTCAGATGTGGCTAAAACAACTGAACACCAACATGTATCAAGGGCTATGCTAGGCACTAGGGTTAAAAAGACAATGAAAAAAACAAAACCCTGCCTTCAACAAACTCACATTCTATTGGAAGAAAAACATGTAAATCCATAAGTAAATCCATATAAAGTAGTTTTGAGGGGGGGATGTTAGCAACTGGGGAGATGAGGATAGACTTCCTATAATAGGTCACACTTGGGGTGATCTTTGAGGGAATCAGGAATTCTCTGAAGCAGAGATTAGGAGGGGGTGCATACCAGGTATGGGGGAAAGTCTGCGCAAAGTTATTGATATGAAACAACAAGCAGGCTCTAGTTAATAGTTACTGTACAAATGTATATTATGTACACATATACATATATATATATGTAGCATATACTCACAAGTATGTATATATTTATGTATATGCATAGTGGCAGAGGGAGAGCAGGCAGATTTTTTTAAAAAGATTAACAAAAATAAATGTATATATAGAATGACTTATATGTTTGTGATATACATATTATAGATCTGTTTTCAAGGAATTAAAATATAATGAAATGTATTTACTATGCTATACTAATACTATTAAATATTAGGGGCAGCTAGGGGGTGCAATGGGTAGAACACCAGGCCTGGAGTCAGGAAGACTTATCTTCCTGTGTTCAAATCCAGCTTCAGGCACTTACTACATGCCCTGGGCAAGTCACTTTATCCTGTTTGCCTCAGTTTCTTCGTCTGTAAAATGAGCTGCAGAAGGAAATGGCAAGTATCTTTGCCAAGAAAACCCCAAATGACATCATGAAGAGTCAGACACAATTGAAATGACTGAACAACAACAAAAATTTACTATTAAAAGTATGTTGAATATAATTTAATTTTCTTTGGCCATTCAAAGCAATGGCATGGGGTTATCTTTATTTGCCTCAAGTATCATCGTACCATCAGTCAGTCAATTGATAAACATTTATTAAGCACCTCCTGTGTGCCATGCACTGTGCTAAGCACTTATTATTCAAGGAAAGGTAAAAGATCCTCTTTGCCCTTGAGGAGCTCATAGTCTAGTGGAGGAAATAGCATGCAAACAGTAAATGGGAATGCTGGTTAATAAAATTCTGCATGCCCGAGAACTTAGGAGCATAAGTTTAGGTTAAACATTTTGATTTTACAACTTTTCTCTAAAAAGTTACCCAGCCTCCCTACTAATCAAAGAAATGTAAATTAAAATTACTTATTGACGAATTACTCATACATCATAATTAATGTTTCTAAAAACATTTAAAGTTCTGTAACTTATTTTTCCCATTTGAAGATGATTTCTCTTCTTCCCCAGCTTGACTGTGCGAAGCAAAAACAGAAGCTACGCATTCAACATCAACCTTCTCTCTTTCAACACATGGGAAAGTATTCATCATTGCCTGGAAAAATACAGAATTTGCAAGTAAGATATTTCTAATTTAAAAGTTCCATTTTTTTCACATAATTTTGTTTAATAAATATCATGAGACTTTGATGAGAGTCACTTTGTTTTAAAGTCTAGGAGCAAAAAGAATGTTGGGCTTGGGGTCAAAAGAACCAGATCCAAATCCCACCTTTGACACTTAGTAGCTGTATGACTGACCATTGAGCCTCTGTTTACCTATGTGTAAAAAGGAGATAATATTACTTACAGTCTCTACCTCACAGATTTGTTGTAAAGGGTATTATACAAACCTTATACCTTGATGTAAATGTGAGTTTCATTGCACAAATGAAGTATCTTCAGAAAGTTGAAACATAGACTAAGTCACTCTTACTAGCTGGAGATACTAGACATGAGCTGGTCTTTAGTTTATGCCTATCTGTCAAAGTAAGTCAAGTTAGGGAGACATAAATACACAAAAACAAAATATTGTATTCAAGAACTGTAATAAGGCTATATGTGATGAAACAAATGCCATAGACAATAAGTAAAATAATATGACATAATAAAAGTTAAGTGCGGTCAACTCTAAGGATGGTGACATCACCGTATCCTGGGGAAGTCTGAAAAGTCTTGTTGGCGAATTAAGACAGCTCTGCTCGTAATTACCTATTCAGGGTGTTCCTTGATCTCTCTAGGGTTCCATTTTCCTCATTTGTAAAATAAGATGGTTGCTATCTAAGGCGCCTTCATAGTATTTTTGGCAGACTTCCTGCCAGGATATCAGTCTTGCTCCCACATAGCTCCCCAACCAAACCCTGAAGTTTGCATCAGGCCAAATAATGATCAAGAAATCTGAGGAGAAAGAGTAAGCGAGTTCTTCTACCCCAGAACTGCACAAAAAGTCAGCAGTCTCCACTCCATCGCCGGCAAAGCCAAGCTGGAGCAGGGTAGTTTCAACGCATGACCAAAGATAGCGAGGGACATTTGTGACCTTGAAGGTTCTATTTTCTGGGAGGAAGCTACAGGGTAGTCAGAAAGGCCCAGCAGGCCACAACCAGCTGCGAGGGCAGCCCAGGCCCAGGGAGTCTGAAGTCCCTAACACTGCCCTGATGTGCCAGAGGTGGCCCTAATATCTGCGGCTCCTCTGAGCCTCCAAGACCTAAAATGAGGCCTAATCTCAGAAGTCAGAGGCAGTGCAGGAATCCAGGAGACCCAGGGCAAAACCAAGCAGGGCCTACTGTTTCCTTGCCCTGGAACAGAACCCTAATTTAGGAGCTAAAGCTGGAGAGATGATTAAAAAAAAAAATACTATTCACTATCAAAAGTTATTCCAAATTTAACTCCATAACAACTGTAACCAGACAGTCAAAGAAAAAGTTGGATTTTCCACAAGAACTTTATAAATACCTAGAATAGAAGCAAAATATTTTTTCAAATAAAATAAAAACTTTTTAGGAAAGAGTTGGAGGAATAAGTAAGCTAGTCCAACAGCTAGCATTTATTAAGTACCTGCTGTGTGGGAGGCACTGTGCCTTCACTGGAGAAATATACTTCCTGAAAATTAGAATAGACAAAACAAAGCAATGACTCCATGAGAAAGGAAGAAATATAAAATAAAATCAATACAAGAAAGGTAAAATCTCTATATGCAAAAAACAACTGATTTGAAAAGCAGGTCAAAGTGAGATAATTTAAGAATCAATGGGATCTCGAAAAACTACATTAAAAAAAAAATCCTGGACATTATATTTGAAGAAATTGTAAGCAAAAATTGGGGAAAGGCAGAATAAAATGGTGGTATGTAAATATAAAGTAATATTCCTCCATTAAAAACTGTTAAAAGAGACAATTTAAGAGTCCTGGGTCGTATAAACTAAAAGAATGAAATGAGCAGGAACAGGAGAAAAAATTATACAAGGATAGTGACATTGTAAAGAAAACTGACTTTGAAAGGCTTAAGAACTCTGATTAAAGCAATAACCAACCATGTCTCTGGAGCATTTATGATGAGGCATGTTACCCAACATCTCACAGAGAGGGCAGAGGGACATAAATTTTGGACCTGGCCACTTGGATTTGTTTTACTTATTATTTATTACAAGTTCTTTGTGTTGTTTTTTTTTAACTTTCTTAAGTTAATTGGGGAGGATCATTTTAACACCTTGTTAAATGCGCAAAAGAGAACAGAAGGAAACACGGGTTAATAGGACAGTTTTGAAATTTACTATAGAATTTATCATATATTTAAAAAAGCAAGTCGTATGAATTTCAGATTTATGCCCTTATGTAGAATTTTCTTTTTATTTTCTGCTATATATATAGAAATGTTCTCTCTTTTTTGGTGTTTGTTTTTAAATTCAGAATTTTTTTAAAATCAAATTTTAAATAAAAACGTAATTGTACTATTTTCTTTGTGTCTGTCTTATCTTAACCCAAAAAATACTTGTTGAATTGAATTCTACTTTGGCCCTTATTTCCCATGTTGTCTGTCGTTATTGCTTATAGGTCTAAAGCTGGAAGGTGCATCATAGGTCATCCAGTTCAGCCCCCTCATTTTACAGCTAAGGAAAATGAGGCATAGAGCAGTTAAGTGACTTTTCCAAAGTCACCAGAATTAGAATGTAGGTTCTCTTTTTCCTAGCCCTATTTTGAGCTGTGCTGTAATAATTTTGAAGTTTTTTTCCCCTACATTATGCAAAATAGGCATAGAAACAAGAAGAAAGCATGTGCATTCACTAACACCCACAGGTTCCCAAAGTGGGTGACACTGCCCCTTGGGGGGTACTGGAACAATCCAGGGGGGCCACTGGTAGAGCCGTTGGAATGCATTGAATAAAAATAAAAGGGCTGCAGAAGCATAAGGAAAGAAGAAAAGATAAGAAAATTTTGAAAAACCATTCATATATGTTTCATCTGTTCTGTAACAGAGTTGAAATCATAGTGATTACATTATTTTCCAAATAAACACACAAAATGCAAGTTATAACCAGTCAGTGGTCAAGTCTGCCAACAGGTCTTAACAAGCAAGTGTTGGCAGGCGAGCATGCATTGGCAGTAATCTGTGTGTGTAATGACTTGTTTATAATACGATACTATATGGTTACATGACAAAATCTTGTGTTATCAAAGTTTCAATGCAGGGGAAAAATCCCACAAATTTATGATAAATTATTAAATTTAAGATGCGTTATTTTAAAATACATATATTTTATATTTTTTTGACATGATGGAAATTTTAAAAACACTGTTAAAGGGTTAAGAAAGTAGATTTCCATTGTGCTATAAGAAATGATGAGCAGGCTAACTTCAGAAAAACCTGGGAAGATTTGTATGGTCTGATGCTAAGCGAAGTGAGCAGAGCCAGGACAACATTGCATACAGTAACAACCACAATGTGCGATGACTAACTTTGATAGACTCATCTCTTCTCAGCAATGCAAGGATCCAAGACAACTCCAAAGGACTCATGATGAAAAATGCTATCTACATCCAAAAAAGAACTATGGAGTCTGAATGCAGATTGAAGCATATTATTTGCTCTTTCTTTCTTTTTTTTTTTCTTTTTTCTTTTTTTTCTTTCTTCTTTCTTGTGGTTTCTCCCATTTGGTTCTAATTCTTCTTTACAACATGACTAAAGTGAAAATACGTTCAATGTGAATGTATATGTAGAGCATATATAAAATTACATGCCATCTTGGGGTGGAGGGGGGAGAGATGAGAAAATCTGGAAGCTGAAATCTTATGGAAGTGAATGTTGACAGCTACAAATAAATACATTTTTAACAAAAGAAAGTAGATTTCCAGGGGGGGTACTGAATAATTTTTTTTAAAGGGGTGGTACGCCAAATAAGTTTGGGAACCTCTGGGTAACACTTAAAGACTAAGTTAAACTCTGTATTTGCATAATGTAAGCAAAGGTATATGTATTTTAATTCATTTTCCTTTTTGGTTATAGGATGCTGATTTTGAAAAACATAAATTATATCCATTACATTCCAATCCACCTGCGAGTCTGCATACTTCTTTAAAAGTCCATGAGACGTATTCTTTGGAAAATGCTTATCTAAGAAAAGGATTTTTCTGGGCTATCTCTCCAAAAGCTGGTGACTATATGCTCATACAGTTCAGTAACCCATTGAACATAAAGGAGTAAGTATTACTGCAAAAGAATTTACTTGTCTATCACATTGCGGTTTTTTTCCCTTTTTTTTTCTTCCCTCAATGTTCATACTTTTTATTTAGTATTTTGTTTTCCCCTAGTTACATGTAAAAACAATTTTTAAGATTTATTTTTAAAACTTGGAGTTCCAAATTCCCTTCCTACCTCCCCCCCGCCCCAATTGAGAAGGCAAGCAATAGAGGCCATATTACATGGGTAGTTGTGTTCATCCTTTTTGACTTGCTAATTTGACCTCATTGACCAGCTTCTCCTCCTGGATACTTTCTCCTTTCTGGGTTTTTCTAACATTTCTCTCTCCTGCTTTAAACCTCCTAACCTGTCTGATCACTCCTTCTCAGGCTCCTTTGCTGGTTCGTTTTCCATGTCAAGCCCTCAACTTGTGGTTGTTCCCCAGTTCAAGGTTCTGTTCTAGGTCCTTCTCCCTCTCCACCATTAAGTACCCTGGATTTAACTCTCACCCTCATACCCATAACAACACCCAGTCTGTCCCTGAGCTACAGTCAAGCTAGTCCCACATGACCAATTGCTCCTTAACACATTTCAAATTGGATGTCCAAGAGATGTCTCAAAATCAACATGTCCAAAACAGGACTCTCACCTCTCTCCCCTTCCAAGTTTTCCTATTTCTTTTGAAGACAGTACTATGCTTTCAGTCACCCAATCTCAAAATTTTAGTGTTATCCTTTACTCTTCACTGTCCCTTACCCCACATATCCAAATCACTTGCCAAATCTGACTGTTTGTGCCTGTTTCTTGTTTCTGATGCCTTCTCTCCCCTCAGACAGCTACCACCTTAGTCAAGGCCCTAGTCACCTCTCTCATCGGTTATTGCAACAGTGTTGTGACTGGGCCCTCTGCCTCATGCCTCTCCTCACTCCAGTATATCTTACACATAGCTGCTGAAGTGATTTTCCTTAAACATTGACCTGACCATGTGACTCCTATACTCAGTCAACTTCAGGGACTTCCTTTAGGATGAAATGTAAATTCCTTTGCTTGACTCTTACAGGCCTGCAGGACCTGGCCTCAGCCTATGTTTCCAGATTCATTGGGTATCATTCATCTCCCACACTCTGTGATCCAGCCCAACTGCCTGGCCTCTCTGTATCTTACTCATAACACGTCATTCTCCATTGCTGTTCCTTTGCAATGGCCATCCCACATGGCTAGAAGACATTCTTTCCTCAGCTTCTCCTCACAGAGTATCTCACTACCTTTAAGGCTCAACTCAAGCTTTATCACCTCCGTGAAACCTTTCCTGATTGCCCAACCCATAGTAATCCTCTCTCCCCAATTGCTCTGCATTTAAGTACTCTGTGTGCATTTAAGCTTATTCACTTTATGTTGTATTATTTATATATGTACTTGTCTCCCTAATTAGCAGGTAAACTCATTGCAAAGTAGGGATTGTATCATTCTTTCTGTTTGTATCCACAGTGCCTACCACAGTGCCCACTACATAGACGTTCTTAGTAAATGTTTGTTGATTGATTTTTCTATTTTTCTCCCCTGTTGGGATCTGTATCCACAAGCTTTTTTTCTTTTTTTTCCTTTTCTTTCTTTCTTTCTAGGGCAGCTAGGTGGTGCAGTGGATAGAGTTCTGGGCATGTAGTCAGGAAGGCTCCGCTTCCTGAGTTCAAATCTGGCCTCAGACATTCACTAGCTATATGACGTTGGGCAAGTCACTTAAACCTGTTTGCCTCAGTTTCCTTATCTGTAAAATGAGCTGGAGAAGGAAATGGCAAACCATTCCAGTATCTCTGCCAAGAAAACCCCAAATGGGTCACAAAGAGTCAGATGTGACTGAAACGACCGAACAAACAACAAAAACGTCAAATTGTTGTTGTACCAACTTCATTATATCTTCTTTTATCCCCACCATCAACCAGGCCCAGACTTCCTTTCCTGAAAACATACATTCTTTCATCATTGAGTTTTGAACTCATGTACACTCCTTAGTTAGACTCTAATATTCCTAAGGAAATGTGTTCTCATCAATCTGTATATTCTCTCTTGCAGTGCAGTAACAATCCATTGATCCCTCCCTGTCCTATATGATTCTTGATCCTCACTTAAATTTGCCAACATTTTGGGAAGCTTTTCTTATTTTTCTTGACATCACAAGGATGTTAGTGAAGTACCCAGATTGTCCACTGGTTATCCCTCACATTCCCCACCTTTTTTACACAAAAGAATCTGAAATAACAACCATTTTCTTTTCTTTTTATCTTTGGACAGTTTTTTTGATTATCGAGACAAATAAAGAATCTGTCATTTTTCTTCAGCTTGCTACAATGTATAGTTTTCTTTTTTTTTTTTGGGGGGAACAGGTATGTTTTTGCAAGTGGAAATGTTCAACATCCCGGAGATAAGCTTTTCAATACTATTGTAGAAATTTTACCTGAAAATGTAAGTATTCAGCTTCCAGTTAGAATACACATTTTATTATGACTGAAACTTAAGAAGAAATCACTGAATGGATCCAATTTTTCTCTTTATTTGTTGCAGGAAACAGATTTTTTGTCAAATTTGTTAAGAAATGGAAGTAAATTTGACTACGAAGCAACCAATAATGGGTTTTTTAAAATAGGTAAATTATCTACTGCCATCTGGAGATTGAAACCATTAGTTCTTAAGCAAATTAAAAAAAAATCTGAATTGTTGAAATCTGTTCACATTAGAAATGCAATGCTCCAAAACCAGACAATCAGTGGATACTGTGGTATGAATTTTTATGTATTAAAGCAAGGTGCGACACAGGAAACAAGAATGAACAGTGATAGAACTTGATTTTTTTTTATTGTTCTTGTAATTATATATTGAGAAATACTTATTCTTCGATGTTTTATTTTCTTCCTTGACATGATTGGCTGTGATTTCAGTTCAGTATACTGAATGAAGGACTGAACAAAGTTAGATTATCAAGATTTTGTCATGAAACCTCCTATATGAAAGAAAGTCTTTGTTATTCTCCTCCCTAAATGTAATTTTTGCATATTTTTAAATGCTAATACTATGTTCAGATATGTAATAATTAGGACTATTAGGGTTGTATGGATAAAAATACATTCCAATCTGAAGTAGACTGTATTATATAATGGAAACAGGTCATTGTGTTCTTTTAAAAAACATGTGCACATCTATTCCAAAAAAAATTTCTCATATCATTCATTCTTTCTTTTAGCTGAACTATGAGTATACTCATCCATTTGTTTACTTAAAAATTTTGCCAATACAATTTTTTGTTGGTGCAGGGGATAGAGTACCAGCCCTGGAATCAGGAAGACCAGAGTTCAAATATAGCCTCAGACACTTGACACTTAACTAACTGTGTGACCTTGGGCAAGTCACTTAACCCCAATTGCCTTATGCCCCCCCCCAAAAAAATTTGTCAATATAATTTTCTTTTTTTCTTTTTTTGGATTTTCTTATTAATTTATTTTGACTTATCAACAATCACTTCCATAAGCTTTTCAGTTTTAAATTTTTCTCCCCCTCCCTCCCCATCTCCCTCCCCAAGACGGTGTGCAATCTAATATAGGCTATACATATACATTCTTATTAAACATATTTTCACATTAGTGAGGTTGTAAGTAAGAATTAGAACTAATAGGAGGAACTGCTAGAAAGAGGAAACAAAACATAACAGAAGAAAAAAAGAGCAAATCGTATGCTTTGATCTGCATTCAAACTCCATAGTTCTTTCTTTGGATGTGGATAGCATTTTCCATCATGGGGTTTTTGGAGATGTCTTAGATCCTTGTATTGCTGAGAGGGGTTAAGTCTATCAAAGTCAGTCATCACTCAACGTGGCTGTTACTGTGTGCAACATTCTCCTGGTTCTGCTCACTTCACTCAGCATCAAACCATACAAGTCTTTCCAGGTTTATCTGAAGTCAGCCTGTTCATCATTTCTTATAGCACGATAGTATTCCATCACATTCATGTATGACGTTCACAATTATGATAACTATCTGTGTCTTTCTTTTCATCCTTTTCCCCCACTGTTTATGCTAATACAGTTTTTTTTTATACCATAGATATTTTCCTTTCTCCTCACCCCACTAACCTCTCCTTTTTCGCAATGTACGTACAGCTTGAGCAAAACCAAGCAACATGATGTCCACATTTGCAAGTGTATGCATTATTTTGTGCCCTAGTCTACCAACCCTGAACTAAAACTTTAAGGATCACAGATGAAGATCTGGGAGTGCCTGCAGAGGCCATTTAGGCTCATTCCTTCAGTTGCATAGGTTTTATGCATCAGAGGTGCGATCTGAACCCCAATCCTTTGACCCATAGGATCAGTGCTCTTTTCAGGGAATGAGGATGGGAGTGGGTGGAGAGGTGGGGGAGAGCTTGTTCTCTGGAACCAAAATTGATCATTGCCTTTAATCTGAGTTCAGCTACCTTACAGTCTTGTTTTCATTTGCCTTATTATAGTCGTTGTGTATTATTTTTCTGGTTATACTCTTTCACTCTGCATCAGTATATTTAATTAGTGAATTTTAGGTTTTCCTAATAGGAAAACTTCTTCACATCAGTAGCCCAAATTCCATTTATCATCTTTAAATCACCACTGTACTTGGCAGAAATTTTTATTGTGCTCCTCTTGCCTTCCATAATTGTTCATTCACCGTTAGTTCCTTTTTAAATTTTTCACCTTTTTCATAGATCTGTTATAATTCATTATAATTCTTTATAACTAGTCAAAAATGTATGTGTGTATTCTGAACTAATACTGTTGGATATTTTTGGTTTTTTTTTTTGAGGACAAGCCCCTTTTTGTTCAGAATACACAACTGTAGTTGCTTTTTGGAAGCAGCATGATAATCATAGAAAGAAAACTTGATTTGGAGGCAGAGGACTTGGGTTCAAGTCCAGCTGTGCTACCTGTGCAACCTTGGTTTGCTCACTTACCCTCTCTGGGCCTAAGCTTCCTCATCAGTAAGATGAGGGTGCCGGGATTATCTCATTCTTTGTATTTGTATCTCCAGTGCTAACTGCTTGGCTTAATCAACATTTACTGATTGATTGATTAGATAACCTTTAAGATCCCCATCATCTGCTTTAATTACTTGACAATTTAAGGAGAGAGTAGTATAGTGGAAAGAATCCTAAATTTAGGATTTGGGAAGCCCTGTTGAATCCCATCATGGCCATCTGATGACTTTAGATAAGTCATTTAACTTCCCAGGGATTCACTTTTCTCATCTATCCAATGAGAGTTAGATCCCTTGCAACATTAATAATCTCTAATTTACTCCAGACTGGCCTCTCACCTTCTGCTTGACATCATTCCAAGCTGATGTCTGCTATGTTAACTGCCCTAAAATCCCCATCAGTTTTAGTAAAATAATATAAAGTGCTTCTTGTGGTACATCCAATGAACCTACATTTCCCAAGAATTCTTTTGGAAATTTTTCATACGTTTTCAGATCATGTCCTTTCCAGAGGAGTAAACTTTTTTTTTTTAAGTTTCATTTTATTTATGCATTTTGTTTGTTACATAACAGTCTGCCCCAAGGTACCCTTCATTACATAAAAAAACAATAAACAAAACCCAATAACTCCATCCTGTAAAAAACAGTTTAGGAAGATCTTCTACTAAATATATTAGAAGCAAAATACAGTTTTCTGTGAAAGTAGTTGTTGGAAGAGTGCTTTGTAAATTATAAAGTCCTATAAAGGTGATTTAAAAGATGCAATTTTCGAAAGATCAACAACTATAAAAACAAATTCAAATAATTGACAAAGACCATAAAAGGGAGAAATAGTCAATGTTCTTTCTGTTTTTTTCTTTTTATTGATAGGGGCAGGTGGGACAAAAGTTTTTTGGTTTTGTAATTATTTGTTAGTTTTGCTGTATTACTTTTTTCTCTTTTAAAAAATTATTTCAAAGGATAGCTTATTAGGTAGAGGAGGGGAAAGGATATATTAATGAATATTATGTAAAAACAAAAAGTAGCAATAAAAATGAGATTTTAAAAAAAGGTAGTATGCAAAAAAGATTTTTTTACACAACCACAGTAACAAAACTATACATATACATATATATATATATATATATATATATATATGGACAAGAGATGATAAGGATATGCAACAATTAAAATATTATTTCTTTAAGGTTTACATTAAAGTATTTCTCTTTATATTAAAATAGGATTTTGTAGTTTTATTTAATGTTCTATTCCTTATTGTTTGTGTTGAATTAAAATTTAAAAAATTTATGTGAATGTCAAAATATAATCTTTTTTTTTCCCATTTCCCAAAGGTACATTTGAAAATGGAGTAGCACAAGGCATCATCAATCCTGCAGTAGGAAAAATCAAGGCTTTTCGTTTAACTGTGCTATCAGATTCACCTGTGTGGGCTATAGTGGGTGAGGTAAGATTAAAACTAGCATTGCTACAAAATCTCCTTCACACATGAGATCCAAGTACAGTCTGAGATTTAGGGAACTTTCCTATCATTTGGCAGTGGCTGAATAAAGTGAAATTTGTCCTCACAAATATTGCTTCATTTTTCAACACCAACGAATTCCCTTTTACTTAAATTAATATGGAAGATTCATTAGTATTTTTAATCATGCCTTAAATGTATTTCCAAACTGTTTATTACCAATAGAATACTGTAATATTCTAAACACCCAAATTTATTGTGAATTTACATGAGATTTTTCTCTAGGTTTTTTTAATTTAGCAGAAATTTTAAGTAGCCTCTATAAATCCAGCTATCAAACAACTGTGATTAGTAGGTTTCCTTATGATAATAATTCACATTTGTTGATATATTTAGGTTTTCATCACAACAACTCTTTGGGATATGTAATAAAAGTATTATTATCCTCACTTTGCACGTGAGGAATGTGATGATTAAAAAATTCCGAGAAACATAATTTCTGGGTATTTTAATAATTTTATTAATGAGGCCAGCTCCCTTCATCATTTGCCAGATTAGCTTAGGCCAAAGACAATCATCATGGCAGTAGGCTCACAGTTTATATATCCAGTGAAGAGGTGTTATCCAGGGTAGGAATCAACCTTGATTGGTTAACAATTAATGAATGAATATTACTATGAGGGGCTGAGAGTGATATCCTGTCACCCTTGAATGGAGAAACTATCTCTATACCCTGACCATCCCCAGCCTTGGGCAGCCATCCATTAAAAAAATTTATGCACCACCCAAGCCTGAGCAGAACATTATAGCTACTCCACCTGGGTGGAGTCTGAACCAGAAACTTAGTTCAATCTCATTATCAGCAATGTCCTTCAAGAGACTGAACTTTTAAAAATCAGAACTTTAACAAAAGGGGCAACTCTGGATCTCACCAACTTATTGGTTATTAACTATCATTTTTCTCAGGAAACTGAGGTTCTGAGAAATTGCATCTTGTCTTTAATCACACAGCTGGAAACTGTACACTTACTGGTGGTTCATGGTTTATCTACTTTCCTCATCTCCCCAGAATGTAAGCTCCTTGAGGACAGAAACGGTTTCATTGTTGTCTTTGTAACCTCTGCATCTAGCACAGTAACTTAGAGCTTAAGTAACATAGTATGCTTTCAATAAGTGCTTTTTTAATTGGAAAGAAGCTAGAATTTGGATATAAGCATTTAGATCTTTCTTTAAAGGACCACTGCCCTCACTGAGACAATTTCAGAGGAAGGGCAAAAGCAGCACCGGCCATACTGGCGTTGAATTCTTTTGGAGATCTCTCAGAAGTCCTGGCAGTACAGACAGGTCCACACAAGGGGTGTTTGATTGTTGAGAACTAGTGAGAGTTCAGAAAGTTAGAGTCCCCTGCATCTCCTTTGGGACCCAGAATTCTAGATGTTCTACTAAACTCGGGTTTGCTTGTGTCCTCCCCATGTAAAGAGTTTCCATTTTTATGGTGAGCAAAGGACAGTGATCTAATTTGTTTTCCTTGTCATATCAATGTTGTTCCCCCAGAAGTTTCTTTGTGCTATAGAAAAAGCCAGAAGATTTAAAATTCTAGCAGCTAAAAAGTTCAATTTTCCTTTTCTACACTAGGCATTAATAAGGAAATAATAGTAAATTTTGTTCCTAATATACTATTGCTATTGCTAATCAGGGTTTTTTGTTGAATTTAACAGATATCTTTTATACTGAGAAATGGGTAGGGGAGGGAGAACTAAATCCTTCTTTTTGTAGAAGAATGGATCTGATATGTCTTTTCTGTATCACATTCTTCATTTGTTTTCATCTATAGCAGAGGGAGGGAAATGGTATAAACCTTCAACTCATACCTTTTCTTTTTATGGCATGGACTGACAGGCTGATAACATCACTAGCTCATGCTGTGGTATCAGCTTTCAGTGTTATACCATAATATCATAAGATAGCCAAGGTATCAGCAATTCCCTAAAATAATAGACTTTACGAAGGCAGCAATGATACGTTCAAGAAAGTTGGAAAAAGTTCTGACCTTGGAAAAGCACCAGGTTGGGGAAGAGTGTGGCTTAAAGAATATCATGAAAATAACCACCTTAATTAACATTATCAGTCCTTCAGATGAACTAATCTGAAGTTATTTTGAAATGATAACGGCTTCTCTTCTGTTTCTGTTTCAGATATTTATCAAGGTAAATTGAAAGTACAAACTGCCGAGACAAGTCATGATACATTTCAAAAATCTTTCTGATAGACTACCTTGAAAATCAGACCATCTGTTGTTGGAAACAAATAATTATTGGGGGGGGGGGACAACTAGCAACAGTGGACTTTAAAATGTAAACTTTTGAGGGTTTTTCTTTTTAAGGAAAAAAACGTTGAACCTTTTTATGCAGAATATTTTTGCCCTGGAGAACTTGAATACTAAGCAAATATGTGTAATATAAAAATAATGAAGTCAGGAACCTTTTTAAAATTAAGAAATAATATTTTTATTCATTTAGATAAGCATTTACTATGTATATATCTTTCATGAAGCCTTTGGAGATTTCTTAGATCCTTGTATTGCTGGGAAGGGTTAAGTTTATCAATATTATATCATCTCACAACGTGGCTGTTATTATGTACAACGTTCTCTTGGTTCTGCTCATTTCACTCAGCATCAGACCATACAAGTCTTTCCAGGTTTTTCTGAAGTCACCCTGTTCATCATTTCTTATAGCACAACAGTATTCCATTATATTCATGTATCACAACCTGCTCAGCCATTCCTCAATTGATGGGCACCCTCTCAATTTCCAATTCTTTGCCACCACAAGAAGAGCTGCCATGAATATTTTTGTACATGTGGGTCCTTTACCCATTTGTATGATCTCTCTGGGATACAGCCCTAGAAGTGCTATTGCTGGGTCAAAGGGTATGCACATTTTTATAGCCCTTTGGGCATAGCTCTAAATTGCTCTCCAAAATGGTTGCTAATTTTTTTTTTATAAATAATAAATATATGTATGTGCAGTGAACTATTTTCTGATAAAAATAGTTTTCCAACATCTTTTCCCCTCTTCCAAAGGCTAAATAAATGTTTAGATTAGGGTGGAGTGTGCTGACCAAACTCTGAACAAAACATATTTCTCAGCACCTCTGCACTGCTACCTGAGTTAAGGAAGCTTAGTAACTAATTTCCAGTTCACTTATGCTTCAATTTCACAAACCAGAAGCTACTTTAAGATTGCCAAAAAAGATCTACAGTATTGAATTTTTGATCCCCTAGATGCCCAGGGAGGCAGGAAAGAGGGTAAGCTTATGCATATAATTTTCCTTCATACTCATTGTTGCTGTTGCTGCTGTGCATTTCCATGCTGGGTATGCATGAATCTGGTCAGATTTTTTTTTTTTTTGCATAGCTCATTATTTTCAGCCCATTTGCTAGAGAAGCTGCCTATCCCCTTTGCTCAAAGTTTGCTTCAAGTATTTTTCAATATCATTAGAGTTCAAAATAAAGAGCACTCCTTTGGAACAAGTTCGGCCCTATAGCCAGGGCAGTTGATGCAGTCTTCAGAGATACTTCCTCATATTTTAGGGCACTAAAAAGACGATAGAATTGGAATGAATAGAAGCATTGGAGTCAAGAAGCCCTGAACTTTAGTCCTATCTATGACACATACTGGCCTAGACAAGTCATGTAACCTCTCACTATTCCAGGGAAGTTTCTCAGAGTAGAAATTGTGGCTAAAACTAGGTATAGGGAATTTTTCGTTGGGAGCTCCCTGTGCCAACACAGGCCTGATCTCCTCCAAAGGAACATAGTAACTACTAGGTACAGAGAAGCGCTAACCAAGGCAGAGCCGCAGCTAATGCAAGGCAGGGAACTGGGATAATTTTGGGGATGATTAAATTATTTTTAAAGGAAATAATCACCTGTCTCTCATTACTTTTTGCTGAGGAAACAGCACACTTATTAACAAAGGATGCTTAACAATCAATGTTTATAAGAAAATCTCAAAATTCATTAAAATTCAAAAAGGTGGGAATGTAGTTGAAAAGATCTTCATTTTCCTCTCTATAAAGTTTTATAGCCATTGATGTGGTATGTATTAAGCTTAAATATTTAGCAATAAATGTCTTCACTTCTCAGTCATTAAAGAATTGCCAAGGAAAGCTTTGGATTCTCCTCGGAGTTAAAAGTTTTAAGAAACACTGTCTATTTCCATTGAAAGATTTTAATACTTAGCAAGATTTATCACATTGTAGGAAATGTTTCTAAAATTTCAGATTCAAGTTGGAATCTCTTTTTTTCTTTTTCTTGTTTCCTTGCCACTTTTCTAAAGTTTTAATTATGATTCGAGTATGTTTTCCTACCAGGTACTGCAAGGGAGTATTATAATAATGACTTTATATCTTTTTTTTTTTTTGCTCTGGCAATTGGGGTTAAGTGACTTACCCCAGGTCACACAGCTAGTAAGTGTCAAGTGTCTGAGGCCAAATTTGAACTCGGGTCCTCCTGACTCCAAGGCCTGAGTTCTATCTACTGTAACACCTAGTTGCCCCTAATATCTCTTAACTTTATGATTTGACTCACTCGTATATCAGAATCTAGTCAACCAGGTAGGGACAGCTTTGTCCAGTCAAAATAATTGAGCTCTTTTCCTTACAAAGATGACCTTTCTTTGCATGGTTTCTTTCATAGCTGCCAAATCTAATTGTCTGTTTTCAGTCCTCATTCTTCTCAGTCTGTCTGCTACGTTTGACACTCTCCTGGGTTTTTATGACAATTCTCCTGGTTCATCTCCTTCTGACTGCCCTGACTGCTCTCTCTCAATCTTCTTTGTTGGCTAAGCATCTCTAAATGCTCCTCTGATTCTGGGTGCTTTCTCATCCAAGATTCTCTCCATTCATCCATTCTGTCTCCCTACCCCCTGAAGTTCAAAACCTTATTATCCATTGAATATTAGAATTTCAACTCACTCAAACTCAGTATCTCCAAAACTGAACTCATTATTCTTCCCCCTTAAACTTACCCCACTTCAAACTTTCAGTATTTCTGTTGAATGCAGCATTATCCTAGATTCCTCCTTTTCTTTCACCCCACACATCCAGTCTGTTGCTAGATTTTGCCATTTCTCCCCTTACATCGCTCATATCCTGCTTATAAGTAGCTCCCACTTGCTTCTGGTCCTCATTACCTCTTTCTTGGGTTACTTCAACAGCTTTCTGGTAGTTCTCCCTGACTCAAGGTCCCTGCTCACTCCAATCCATCCTTCACACTGCTGCCAGTTATTTTCTTTGAACACAGATCAGGATTTCCCTCCCCTTCCCCACCCCCCAAACTCAACTAACTCTTTTTGCTTCCTTTTGCCTCTAGGAGAAAATGTAAATTGCTTTGTTTAGAGCCCTATACCACCTGGCCCAAACATATCATTCTGGCCTTACCGGTCGTTACTCCCACAAGTACTCTGTAATCCAGACATATTGCCCCCCCCACCTCATTCCTCATGCATGATATTTCATCTCTTCATGTCTTTGCATTGACTATTCCTCATGCTTGAAATATACTCCTTTCTTGTTTCTACCTCAGAGAGTCTCCCCGCCTTTTTTAAAATGCAGCTCAAGAACCATCTTTTGCATGAATCTCATGCACAATTTCCTCAAACTCTAATGCCCTCCTCAAACTACCTTATATGTAATTACTTTGTATATGCTTGTACTTCTTAGCTTTATGCTTATGCTAAATATATTTTCATATTAATTTATTGTTTCCCCATTGAAATATAAACCCCAATAGGTATTGTTTCGTTCTCTGAACTTATATTCTTAGTACCTAGAACAGTACCTGGCACATGGTAGGTACTTAGCAAGTACTTAATTGACTGATAGAATTTCAGTCGTCATAGTCATGGTAAATTTATTAGGCAAAATTTAGGAGACAGTCCTTATCAAGTACCATAGTTTGCTCCTCAGAATATAACTCGTTTAAATCAATATTACTGCTTTTTCAAAGTCACCTGTTCATAAAAGGATAGAGACTGGACCCAGATGAGGAAACCACCTATTCCAGTTCAGGCCAGCACAATCTTTACAATTTAGAGTAGCTTAGAAGCACTGAAACAATCAGTAATTTCCCTGGGGTCCTAGCTGGTAAGCAACACAGTGATGTGTCAGGGGTGGGACTTGAACCCAGGTCTTCTTTACTACCAGGTCACCTCTGTATCCACTATTCTGCTCTGCCTGTGGGTATATCTCATATGTATATGTGTGTATTTATGTATATATATAAATAATACATAATAATAATATTTATAGAATACAGTTAATTACCACCCATGAGAGCTGGCTTTTGGTTGAAGATAAACATCTATTGACCCTGTCATTTTGTTTAATTTGAAAATTGCAATGGGTGATGTAAGATTTATAAATCCGATCAAATCAAATCACTATTATTGGTAGCTTATATGGGAACTTGCAGGAAGAAAAATCAGGTGGCTATATGGTATTATAAGCCCAATAGGCCCACCAAAGACCTGGCAATAGTTTGATCTTTTTTTTTTTTTTTAGTGAGGCAATTGGGGTTAAGTGACTTTCCCAGCTAGTAAGTGTCAAGTGTTTGGTCTGAGGCCAGATTTGAACTCAGGTCCTCCTGACTTCAAGGCCGGTGCTCTATCCACTGCACCACCTAGCTGCCCCAATAGTACATCTTTTTAAGCAGCCATATGTAAGCATGAGCCAAAGAGTCTCAATGGACTGTTTGTTTGTTACTACTAGTAGAGGGGCATAATACCAAAAATTGATCAAGAATTTTACCTATGCAGAAATATACTTGATACTTTAATAATATACTACTTGATAGTATGAAGAAATCATGAAGAAAATAGAGAACTATTGGAGAATGTAGTTCTGGGACTTAACCTAATATTTAAATATTTAATAAGACTTAAATCTGACAAAGTAGGGTTCCCCAAAATAATTTTTTTAATTATATAAATAAGACAATATGGTCTTTGTATGAACTGTACTCACTATAATATAGGTATTCCTCACTATATTGCATACAAGATTTCACCATTTACAGAATTCCTAAATCCAAGCAGATACTTGGACTATGTTATGAAAACCTTGACCTGTGGAATTTTGAGTCACTGGGCATGTATTCCTTTACCTCTGCCTCCTGCTTCTCCAACAGCACCAAATACCTGTGGCCAGCAGCAAAGCTATGTCTTCAAGGTCCTGAACAGCTGATGCCTGCCCACTCCCACTGTTACTGCCTCTCCAAGGCAGATCTTATGAGGCAAAAGTAATGCAGACATTGGTACTGCCAAGATAGAAGACCAGCAGGCAGAGGAAAGATGACCTCTCCACTTCTGCCTTAGCCCACCTTGTGCTGTTCTTCAGTTTTATCTGGTGCATTAATACGGAAGCTACTCTAAGCCATAAAATCAGTTCTCAGACCCTGCTGCCCCACTGTCGACTGGCCACCTAGCTGTCCTAGGCAGCCTTTCCAGGGAAATCATTGGTGTTACACCCTGTTGGTTGAGCTCAAGTATGTATTCCTTTATTTTATAAGCATTCTAATGATTTTATATTAATAAAGAAAACTTTATATCATGAGTCCTAGTGAATGTTGTGTTGAGGTCACTAACTTTGAAAGTTGCAGAGATGTTCATCATTTCCAAACTAGATACCCTGAGTCTTTTCAGTCCAAATCAATAAGCATTTTTAAGCATTATGCTAGGAACTGTGGAAGATAAAACATTTGGGAAATTGGTAGTATCTCCTCTCATTCAACTTACCGATCAGCCTTTCTTTTGAAGTGATGGAGGCATCGGGAATGTGATTGTCCTCCCTGTACAAGTCATTGCTGATAGTAGGTCACATTGACTTTTCAGGGCCCCAAGGACTCATTGAATACACTAATATGTCTGTTTCCCTGAGCACCTAATTACCAGCGCATGATTTAGGTACCTCCTGAGCTCTGTGTATCCTTTGCTCCCAGAATACTAGCTACATGACTTCATGCAGGTGGAAAGGGAGAACAGCTACTCTCTGGTGTCTTCCCAGAAGGCTTACCTCTTGATAGAGGGGAGAATTCCACAGTAAACTGCACTTGTGAAGCACATGCTGGATTCCTTAAGATGGGCCACGTTCGCTTCTGTGAAGAGATGTCAAGTGCACTCACTAGACTGCCATGACTACTACTGCCTGCTTTTGCCCTCTCATTCATTCCACAGACATTTACTAAGCACCCACAAAGTGCCAGGCATTGTGCTGAGAACTCCATTTTGACTTTGGCTATTCCTTAAGACAAACTTGGCCCAACTAGACAATGGGGTATAGAGAGTGTGTGATGAGTTATAACCAGGGAATGATAACTTCCCCCAGTGATATGAATGACTATAAATTCCCAGGACTTTTGTATGCGCTTTTATCCTGACCTGCCTCTGTCAGAGAATTGGGCCAGTCACACAACCCCTTTGGGCCTCAGTTCCTCAGCTATTAAAAAAAAATTGAAGACCAGATAGCTTATATGGTCTCTCCCGCCAAAGGTCCATGAACTCATTGTGATGCCCCTTTTTGACTCTATCTCCAAATGTCCACTGGCAGGTTGGGTCTTTAGAAGGCAATGACTAATTACTCCATGAGTCATGAGGTAACCCTGAAGGTTTGAGTTTTCTGGTTACCATGGTTCATGATCCCCCTCCATCCAAAGTGCTCAGTCATCCAGGAGAATTCTATTAGCATTTAGAAAAGAGTACTTAACTAAGTGGAAGCAGCTAGGTGCCTTAGCCCTGGTCTTGGAGTCAGGAAGATGTAAGTTCAAATGTGGCCTCAGACACTAGCTGTGTGACCCTGGGCAAGTCACTTAACCTCTTTACCTTAATCCACTGGAGAAGGAAATGGCAAACCACTCCAATATCTTTGCCAAGAAAACCCCATGGACAGTACTGGTGTGCTATGGTCCAAGGTATCCCAAAGAGTTGGACACAACTGAATGACTGATCAACAATTTTACTAAGAAGGTATAGGAAGAATAGTAGATAGAAACACAATACTGTACCTGCTCCCCCCAAAATAAGAATGTGCTCTCTATACCTGCACATACAAGGTCCATAGGGAGAGTGGACCCAAAATCAAAGTATAAAGTTAGACAAATGTAAAGAGCACATGGAGCTGAGGGGTACCTCAAGATTCCGGCCCTAGGGGTCCTTTTCTCCAATTGTGGAATCCTCATGAAATTTTCCTGAGAAACAGGTCTCTGCTGGTCTCTGAGGATCAGTGCCTTTTTTGAATCCACAGCCAGTATTTTTATCACAAAACAAACCCTGAATTAATGCTCTCTTCCATTTCCTCTGTCATCAATCACTACTACTTCGTCAGATTCTGTCTGATGGATTTCTTGGTTACCTGGGCTCTTGCCTCTCAGAATAGTTATTTACCTGAGATCAGGAGAAAATGCACACAAAAGAAACGGAGGTGATGTGCTTGCATAAGCGAGCAACCAGGTGAGAAATAGGGCAGCTGTCCTTACCACTATCTACCTCACAACAGTTCTGCCCCACTTCGGCCAAGAAGGAAAAAAACAGAACCAAGTCATGCTTGTTCTATGCAAACTCATTTCTGACTCAACACTTCCTGAGTCATCAATCTTTCTAGCTTGTCAGACAGTTAGGAGACTTTCTCCTCAATCATCATGACTAGAAACAGGTTTCCCAAAGTGCTCAGTGCTGGATTGAAACCAGGTAGGAATATCTGTAACGTCTACCAAGAAAGGTAAATCAAAGCATACTCTAAACACTGGGTCCTCACCGACCAGTCTCCCTTTACATTATGAACATATAATGTTTGGTGGTAAGAGGTTTGACCCTTTCACTCAGCACGTGAACATTATTGTCTCACAATCTATAGCATGGGATCCTCAATCCTACGAAACTTGTATTGTACTTATGTCTTAGTGTGGGCAGCTAGGTGGTACAGTCGACAAAGAGCTCATCCTGGAATCAGAAACTTCTCTTCCTGATTTCAAATCTGTCCTCAGACAATGACTGGCTGTGTGAGCCTGGGAAAGTCACTTAACCCCATTTGCCTCAGTTTCCTCATCTGTAAAATGAACTGGAGAAGGAAATGGCAAATCACTCCAGTATCTTTACTAAGAAAACCCTAAATTGGGTCACAAACAGTTGGACATGACTGAAACGACTTAACAAACGTCAGTGTACATGTAGGTTTGATTTGGTAGAATAAGTTTAAATCCTAAGCTCTCAAACCTGACAAAGGAAAACACACATGTATATATGCACATGTATGTAAACACACATATATATGTATTCCCCAGTATGAGAATCTGCATGTTATGTTAAAGGTAACAATATCAATTCGCTATTAAAATCATATTTATAAATAACATAATTTAGCAGGCAGGTGCTACATCAAATATTTATATAATTAGGTAGTTTCCCCCAAACCTATTTGGCAAATTCTGCCAAATTCTAGTAAGGACAAATAAAAACTTCAGTAAGAACATAATAGCAATTACATATTATTAATTTCTTTTACAATGAATTACTTTTTTAATTTAGATTTTTCAAAATGGGAGAGGAAGATATAGAGATCAGGAAAGATTCCAGCAGAGAAAATATATGAAATGCAGTAAATCATTCCTATACAAATGAAAACATTCAACACAAATGCCCACCAAGACAATCCTTCTTGTAATATGTGAGAAGACAAAACAATAGCGATCACATGATCTGCAGCAGCCAAAACTTATTAGTTTCTAACGCTTTTCCCTTTAAACAATCATTATTTCTTGAATTGGCTGACACACACAATAACGATTCAAGTGGGATTCTTGATAGTGAGAGCTTCTCATAAGAAGTTTATTGCTCATAGAAGTGAATACTTTATGGAAGAAAAATACCTAATTTGACAAAAGCCATTACTAATGCTGTTGGGAATAGGGAGAGGGATAAAAAGTGGCAATCTGTTATATTCAAAGTGTGATATCAGTTGAAAATAACTTACCTCACAGGAAGCACATGTACAATTTATTTTAAGAATTTATTGAAATAAAACGAAATGTTTATATTTATGCAAAGTCAACAGAACATTTTCTTTACAATCTTTTGAGGCAGGTAGTACAAGTTTTATTATACCAATTTTGGCAAATTCAGGGTTTTGTTTTTTTTTTAAGTGGAAAGAAGGAATCTTCCTGATTTCATTTCCCTGGCACACCTCTGGAGCACCAGAAAGACCTGTCATTACCTCCCTCCCTGTCTCTTACCACATCCCACTTCTTGTGTATGGCGTCTGTTTTTTCTTTGTCTGTTTTCTCTCTTCATGACTAATGACTGCAGCCCTATTTATCTTTGAGGTTAAAATCACAGAATCTCACTTGCAAGGGACCTCAGATGCATATTAAAATTAGAAGTCCCAAAAGTCTTACTGCAATTCTGAGCTACTGTAGTTTAAAACTTTGCTCAGACTTTTGGAATACCCTGTCTGTGCATAAGAATGCTCATCTACTTGTGAGCCCACAGCCTTCATTTCATTCAAGCAAGGTGGCAGACCCACCATTCCCGAGACAGTCATTCCCATTTTGGAAAGCTCTAGTTAAGAAAATCTTCCTGACATTGAATATAAATATGAACCTGTGCAGCACCGCAAGCTGGCCCTTTCTCTGAAATTTATAGCTGCCTAGAACAGTGGTGTCAAAGTCAAATAGAAACAGATGACCACTAAACCTCCCTAATGATCCCTGTAAGCTGCATATTGATTTAGTTTTACAATGTAATAATTCATTTTATTGTATTTTTATTTTGTTAAATATTTCTCAATTACATTTTAATCTGATTCAGGTTGTATTTGGCAGTGTTGTGTGTCTCTTGTTTGACACCTCTAGCCTAGAAGACTAAAAGTTTAAGTGACTTGGTCTAGCCAACAGGTGTCAGAAGCAGAAACTAAACCTAGGTTTTTCTGACTTCATATGTATATAAGACAGCTAGCTAGTGGCACAGTGGATAGAGCCCTGGGCCTAGAGTCAGGAAAACACCAGTTCAAATCCAGCCTCAGACACTTACTAGATGTGTGACTCTGGGCAAGTCATCTCTGTTTGCCTTAGTCCACTGGAGAAGGAAAAGGCAAACCAATCCAGTACCTTTGCCAAGAAAATCCCATGGACAGCATTGGTATGCTATGGTCCATGGGGTCACAAATAGTTGGACAAGACTGAAGAACAACAATAAAAGGCATTGGATGAGATATGTACAATCAGGGAATTTCAGATGCCACTCAACTCCAACCCTACCTGAACAAGATTCCTCTCCACAATACATCGATCTGACAAGCCTCTGCTTTAATGCTTTTGGTGAGGGGCCCCACCACTTCCTGAGGCCACCCATTCCACTCTTGGATAGGTCTAATTGTTAGGAAGTTTTTTCTTCCATCATACACGAAGATCCTTCTCTGGCAATTTATATCCAGTACGCTTGGTTGTGACCTCTGGAACCAGGCAGAACAAGAAAGCAGCCTGGTACAGAGGCAAAGAGACTTGAATTTGGAGTCTGAGTTCTTGCTTCTTACTGCCTAGCTCACTGTGGACAACTCATTTCACTTTGAGCCTTTTCCCGAGGATGTTGCACATTGAAAATACTTGAAAGCTACTGAGTGCTTTCTCCCCCGCCCCCATCTTCTCTTCTCCAGGTTAAACATTCTCAGGTCCTTCATCCTCAGATACTCCAAAAGTGAAATCCTCCACTTCCCTGGCCATCCAAGTGCCCTTTCTCAGGCTGGGCTGAGCTTAGACTCAGGAAGATGTTCATAAGTCATCTATCTGTACAAGGTTCATGAGAGGCCAGATCTGCTGGAAAAACAAAACAAAATTGGATTTAGGAGCTGAAACTGACCTTGCGGTCATGTTCGCCACCCCCTTTATTTTACAGATGAAGAAATTTAAGGTCCAGAGAGAATAAAATCAATCAAAAAGCAGTTAATAAGAACTTTGGGCTCTAAATTGCACTCTCTTTTCACTGCAGCAAGCCCTAATAGCAAATGCAAACACTAGCAAACTGATCCCTAATAAGGTATACTCCACAGTAATTCCCCAGGTCCTACGACAGCCTAATGAAAAATTCCCTTTGCTCTGTTCTGCTTCCACCCTCACTCAGCAACCTTCTGGTTACTAATTCGGTTTCCTGGATACCTGGATACAGGCAGGGTGAGGGGCAGGCAATAGATCCTAGGTGCAAGTGCTGGGAAGCCCCAGAAAGAAGCCCTACGTAAGCTGACACTAGATGGTAGGCACAAATGTCGGGATGCCCGAGAAAGGCACGGTTTCCACGACATGTGCCAAAACTCGAATTCTTGTGGGTAAGAGTCAGCCTCTTGAGTTCTGTTCGTGTACATTTCTCACAGCATGGCTGCTCCTGCGTGAATTCATAAAATCGAATTTCCAAGCCTGCTAACCTAAGGGTTCGTGCAGGGACCTACAAAGTGACCGCACCAAACTCCAGGTGGTGTTTTGCATCTGTCCATGCGGACCCAAGGGGCCTCTCTGCTCAGGGACAGTCACCACGATCATTTTATTAAAGAGGTGGGGGACGCAGGTTGGAGATACCGTGGGCTGGGAGTTGCAGACCCTCAACACTCGTGCGACTACAAAGCAGCAGCATGAGGGACTCTGGAAAGTTGGGGAGTGCGCGGGTAGCCGCTAGGCCGCGCGTGCGCCGGGAAGCCCGTTGGGGGCCAGGCAGCCCAGGTTGGCGCCCCCGCCCCCTTCTCAGCCCCGAGGGGCGCGAGCCCAGCGAGAGTCGTCGCGTGCCGCTGCTCGCGCATGCGCCGTTGGTAGATGCTGTTGAGTGGCCGGCGGCGACTTCGGTTTTGTGGTGGGGTGACCACCCTGTGGCCGCCGGCCGGACAGCCGAAGCGCCGCCGCCGAGGGGCCCCCTCCTCCAGCACAGGTGCGTGACTCCGGCTGGGCCGCTGAGGGAGGGGACGGAGCGGCAAGCGGGGCGGGGGCGAAGGGGCGAGCGTCGGAGTTGGAAGAGGAGAGTCAGCTCGGAGCCAAGAGCCACCGAGGGGACCCGGAGGGGCGTCCGGGCTTCTGGAGGGGCGTCTTCCTTGGCCCCAGCGATGAGGGAGGGTTTCCATCGCCTCTACCTCGGGCGTGCGGAGAGGGGGAGGGGTCGGCCCGGCTGGACGCGAGTCCGTTACTGTGGCGGTTACCGTCCTCCCGCCCCCATCGTCGTGCCCGGAGCTCGAGCTCCGGGTCCCCCCGCCCTCCACTGGCCCTCGGGAGGAAGTGCGCGCCCCCGGGGCCGGACTGGTCAGTGGAGTGCGCCCCCGGGGCCGGACGGGCGCAAGGGCCCAAAGGGGGGACACGGGGCTGAAGGGAGCGTACGCCCAAGGGTGCCCGGAGCTGGACGGGAGCGCCCTTGGGGGCCCGGACTGAACGGGCGCGCGCCCTCACGGCGGGGCGGAGGGGAGGGGGCTGCACGGGAGCGCGCCCGCGGGCTCTTCCACTTACCCGTGGACCCGATTCGAACTTGGGTTAGGGAAGTCGGGCGTATCTGGAGCCGGGGGGCGCTGCCTGTCTCCATCCACTCTTGACTTTGTCAGACTTTGGGCTATTAGGCAATATTGAACTTAGCGAATATTTATTTAGCGCCTAGTGCGTGCATTGCCCTGGAGTTGCAGAGATCAAAAGGGAAGCGTTCCCTGCACTCGAGCTTACATTTTGATGTAGTCGCCTCTCTGCACCTTTTTTCTTCACCCGCCAAATGAGAGGGTTGGCCTAGACAAGAATTCGTAATCTTTATTTCATAGATCCGCCCCCCCCCCAGGCAGTCAGGGGAGGTCTGAACCCCTTTTCAGAATGTTGTTTCCAAAGGAAACCAATTATATTGAAATACAGTTATAAAAATATTGGAAGAACAAGTTGATGGACCCTCGGTTATGAACCCCTAGCTTAGATGATCCCTAAGGCCCTTTTAAGCTCTAAATCTGTGGTCCCCGACCCCCTTCTGTTTGGTGTCGATTGGCAAGAGGGTTGGATTCGAAGGCTTGATCCTAGTTCTGGACTTTGACTACCTGCACGACCTTAGGCTTGGTAGCTTCCCTTTTCTGGCACTGAGTTTGCTTTTCGGTGGGAAAAGAGATTGAATTTAGTGATTTCTAAAGGTCTTTTTCATTTCTAAATCTCGGATTCTTGAACCCTACACCCTCGATGCAACTCGGAACCCGGTGTGTTCCTGGGGGAGGGAAAGAGAAGGAGGGCAGAGTTAATTCTGGCTTTAATAGCTCTCGGTAAGAGACTCATTAGACAGGAAAATGTCAAAAATTTGTCTGTTTATGGTCAATCAGTGCTTTGCCTATTTCGTTTATGACGCTTGCCCCAAGCAAGGACATTATACAGTTAAATTTCTCCTGGGATAGGATGAGCAGATAAATCTCATTAGGCTTAGAAGAAGAAAAAAAAAGTAATTTTAGAGTAGGGGAGGATCCAGTAATATTATGATGGTATGTTGTGGTCTTGACCACCTTTGAAATTTCATGCAATTTATTACTTTGCTTTTAGCCTATAGGAGGAATAGAGGTGCTACTCTTTTTGTTTATGAATTTTAAGTTTGGTCTCTTCCTCATTCATTCTTCTGTCTGAACAGTTAACTAATATGATAAGTTTAGATTATAAATCTTATTCCCAGACTTGGTGACATTAATTGTATTGGTATGAAGTGGAATATTCTTTGAATAAAACTTTTTAAAAGTGTTACTTGATTTCAGTACTAGACAATTTTCTGTCCTTTTTAATTGGAAAATTAAAATTAAGTTATGGTAACCATTGCAACAATACCTAAACAAATAGCTTCTGAAACTTATGAAGTACTATTTGGTAATTTTGACAGTTATTTGATTTTTTTTCTGAATTGTTGTTGGGCTGAGTAACATAGACATCTATTTCATCCATTCCCCCCCCCCCATAAGTACTTTTATCTCTTTTAGAACTTTTTTTTTTAGAACTTTTTATTGATGAGCTCCCTGAAGTGTGATACAGAGGAAAAATTCCTAGCTCTGAAGTAAGACGACTTGGGTAGGTTTTGACGCTTCCTCTGATATTATTTATTACCTGAATGACGTTGAGTAAGTTTTTTAACCTTCCTAGAGGACCTTCTGAGTCTTTCTACTCCAGATCCATGATCCCTTTGAACATTTTAAATAGAGTGAAAAATTCTGCTTAATAAATATTTATGGAATAAAAAAAACTGAACAGATGAAAGTGAACAAAACAGACTAGAAACAGTTATAAACATGGGAGCAAAAATCAGTAAACTCGGTGGCTGGCAAAATGTTGAATCATCACAGATTTTGCAGTTACTAAAGCCAAATTTCTGTGACTTTGGAAATTTGACTTGGAGATTAATTGTAAGAGCAAATGGCATTTTAGACCCATTTTGTTCTTGGTCCTTGGCTTCTGAGGATGTGGATAAAGAAAACACTAGTTTTATCTCACTAGTTTCCTTTTGACATCCAGCAGTTCAGTTTGTTTCCATATACTCATTTAATGAGAAACAAGCACTTTTTTGGCTATTCTCTGGATGAAAAGACAATTGATTAATCCATTAGAAGTTATCTTGATGACCTAATCATCTTTATTTTAATAGGCACCCTGTCTTCATGTCGGTACGTTCATGCCTATTGTCTGACACATGTACATCCAGCAATCTCATCATCATGAATAATATCTGACATTCACAGTGTCTTAATGTTTGCAAAGTGCTTTACACACATTATCTCATTTGAAAATGCCCGATAACTCTGAGTTAGATATCATGAGCAGTATTTTCCCCATTTTATAGATGGAAAGCGCATGTATAGGGATTTTCTTTGCCAAGGAGGAGGGAGATGAGAACTAAAAAGGAGATACTGGATATAATGAATTAGGAGGCTATTGGTTACTGTTATGATTAGTTTCAGGAGAGAAATGAGTAAGACCAAGAGATTGAGAGTAGTGAGGCTACAGAGACAAGTGGAGACAACTTTTCAAGAAAAAAATAGTAGATATGTGGACCTAGAAGCTAGAACAACTTTTTTCAGATTCTGCCTTCAACACTAACAGTTGTGTGACTCTGAAGTTTGTAAAAGGGAGTTGTGTTTGCAGGGAAAAGATTAGAAATGAGTTCTGTTTTGGACATGTTGATTTTGAGATATCTATGAGACATCCGGTATGCAATGTCCAGAAGGCAATTGGCAATGAGAGGAGCTCATGAGAGAGGTTAGGGCTGGGTATATAGATTGTGAATCATCTGCATAGAAATTAATTGTTCATTGAACTCATGGAAGCTGAAGAGATTACCAGACAAGAATAGTGGAAGAGAAGAGAACCAAGGACATATATTTGGGGGGAGATGACTACACCCATAGTTATTGGGCATGACCCAAATGAAAGTTCAGCAAAAAGGGTCTCTGAGAAGAAACAGATAGGTGGAGAACCAGAAGAAAAAAATGTCATTAAAGCCTGTAAGAGGAGAGAGTATGCAAAGGAAAAGGATGATTGATAATGTCAAAGGCCGCAGAGAGGTCAAGAAGGATATAGATTGAGAAAAGGCAGTGAATAGATTTGTCAATTAAGAGACTTCAAATCTTTGGAAAGAGTAGTCTTAATTGAATTATGAGGTAAGAATGAGATTGTTGAGGGTTTAGAATCTATTGAAAGGAAGTAGAGACAGCTTATAGAAACAACATTTTCAAGAAGTTTTGCTACCTCTTTGATTTCAAAATACCACTACTAGGTCTGGATCCCAAAAAGATAAAAGAAAAAGGACCTAGTTGTACAAAAATATTGGTAGCAGCTCTTTCTGTGGTGGCAAAGAATTGGAAACTGAAGGAATGCCCATCAACTGGGAAAAGGCTAAACAAATTGTGGCATATGATTGTGATGGAATACTATTGTGTTTTAAGACATGATGAAGGTATTGATTTCAGAAAAATCAACTACATTCCTTTCTCAAAGTTGAACTTAGTCAATTAACCACAACTCTTGGGTCCAGCTATTCAATCAATTCTGAATCCACCTAACATACTTTAATTTAGCACATCTAGGAAGGGAGAAAGAAGGGGGACCCATGGTACAGATGGTGAGATTTGCCTTATTAAGGAATAGGAGAGCCAGGAAGAAGCAAGTGATAATGCTGAGAAATTTGGGTGAATGAAGGGGACAGGAGGCTAAGGGACTGATAGAGTTCATGTTTGGATCATCACAGTTTCTTTAGAAAAGTAAGCTGCAGTCATCTCTTATAAGGGTAGTAGTGTGGATGGAGGAAAGAAAAAAAACTTTGAAATTGTTGAATGGATATAGTAGGATTATATATAGTAGGATTGTCAACATCAGCTCAGGCCAAGCTAAGGTTATGTATCATAACATTTGTAGTGTATTCTAGGGACACTTTACATGGTCTTTGGTTTTTATATTTAATAATTTCTTTAAAGTAATTTTGTTCTTGTTGTACAGTGTGTAGAAGATTTACTTATCTACCCTTCACCATCTAACATGTCATGTTTATCTCATCTATTTCGTGGCTTCAGGGCTGCCTTGGTCTGTGCTGTATTTTGGCCATTATTTGCAAACCTTCAAATGCTGTATAATTATTAGCATTGACTGTTACCTAATTTACTCACCACTTTTCAGACCTTTTAATCTAGCTTTTTTTTGTAATTTGAATGTTTATCTAAATATTTTACACTCTAATTTGGCTTCTGGTGTATGTATCTCTTAATTTATCCACCAGCTGTGCTTTTAAAATTTGTTGGCCAGTCAACAGATAGTTTTATCCTCTATGTTGGTATATAAAATTCATTTTCTTAGTCATTTATATTTTTAAAATAAAACTGCATCTCATTTTTTTATTGAGCTAAATGGGAAAGTTTTGGCAAGTAAATAGTTAAAATGAATATAGTTTATAGC